GCACTATTTTAACAGTGATATTTCTATATCTCTCTACAATTGATGTATTGAACACTATTTTAACAGTGATATTTCTATATCTCTCTACAATTGATGTATTGAACACTATTTTAACAGTGATATTTCTATATCTCTCTACAATTGATGTATTGAGCACTATTTTAACAGTAGTATTTCTATATCGGTCTACAATTGATGTATTGAGTACTATTTTAACAGTGGTATTTCTATATCGCTCTACAATTGATGTATTGAGTACTATTTTAACAGTGATATTTCTATATCGCTCTACAATTGATGTATTGAGTACTATTTTAACAGTGGTATTTCTATATCGCTCTACAATTGATGTATTGAACACTATTTTAACAGTGGTATTTCTATATCGCTCTACAATCGATGTATTGAACACTATTTTAACAGTGGTATTTCTATATCGCTCTACAATTGATGTATTGAGTACTATTTTAACAGTGGTATTTCTATATCGCTCTACAATTGATGTATTGAGTACTATTTTAACAGTGGGATATCTTTAACTATCTATAACTCTCTGCAATTGATGTATTGAGTACCATTTTAACAGTGGTATTTCTATACCGCTCTTCATTGTAGTTACTTTAGAGCTTAATAAAATTTTGAAAATGTAGAATTTTTATTTACTTTTTGAATCAATTTGAGAAGATAAGTGTTTATCTGTGTCGTTTTGACCAGGCTCTCTCTTCGGGCCTGGTTTTGACACCATTTAGTAAAGCTGTCAAGCTGGGAATATACGACGTACCATTGAGTAAAGCTGTCAAGCTGGGAATATACGACGTGCCATTGAGTAAAGCTGTCAAGCTGGGAATATACGACGTGCCATTGAGTAAAGCTGTCAAACTGGGAATATACGACGTACGATTGAGTAAAGCTGTCAAACTGGGAATATACGACGTACCATTGAGTAAAGCTGTCAAACTGGGAATATACGACGTACCATTGAGTAAAGCTGTCAAACTGGGAATATACGACGTACCATTGAGTAAAACTGTCAAACTGGGAATATACGACGTACCATTGAGTAAAGCTGTCAAACTGGGAATATACGACGTGCCATTGAGTAAAGCTGTCAAGCTGGGAATATACGACGTACCTTTGAGTAAAGCTGTCAAACTGGGAATATACGACGTGCCATTGAGTAAAGCTGTCAAGCTGGGAATATACGACGTACCATTGAGTAAAGCTGTCAGGCTGGGAATATACGACGTGCCATTGAGTAAAGCTGTCAAGCTGGGAATATACGACGTGCCATTGAGTAAAGCTGTCAATATACGACGTGCCATTGAGTAAAGCTGTCAGGCTGGGAATATACGACGTGCACTTGAGTAAAGCTGTCAAGCTGGGAATATACGACGTGCCATTGAGTAAAGCTGTCAAGCTGGGAATATACGACGTGCCAATGAGTAAAGCTGTCAAGCTGGGAATATACGACGTACCATTGAGTAAAGCTGTCAAGCTGGGAATAGACTACACACGGTGTCTGGTGGGGTATGCGGTGTGAGAGGACTAAGTATAATAAAATATGTTAACACCAACCCCTTTCCTACTGACCTGACTAATCTTGTGTCGTTCACATTTATTTACAGTCAGAAATCCACTTTTAGCGTAGAATGGGCTTCCATGGCGCAAATTTATTATGGCTGAAAACGGATGTAAGATACTCGCTGGTTTTATTGTCGTGAAGTTCACCAACGCGTAATGTGCCCTCACACCATAATGATTACCAGTTGCGAATAATGAGCCATGAGCATCAGCACAGGACGCAACTCACAACTCACATGCATGAGTGTTGCATTCGAAATATATGACCGATATTCTTATTTGCAGTCAAACGCCCCTTTACATTTAATAGTTTTCTTCATATCATCTGACAGCATCCGCCATCTGATTTAAATACATATCTGGATGATTTGATTCGTATTTTATACAGGTTACTACACCCCCATAAACCATCAAGAAGTTAAATGATATTTTATTAAGCACAAATTAACTACGGTTGAGCAAACATAAGATTTCAAGTCATGGGAAAGTTAGCATTTGAAATAAACTCTCTGATTAAAAAAAACACAAACAAAACATTTCCATTGAAACAACCATCATCACGGCTGTAACTATGGTCTTTGTACTATGAGGCAACTTTTGTTGGACGAGACGTCCGGGTTGGTTTTAAACAAGGGCTTTCAACCTTTACCCCTTTCAGGATCGTTGATCGATTTCATTACCCCTGAACACCCTTCTATTTCGTGATTTTCTTTTTCATGTGGAGAATATAGTCTAATTGAAAACAACAATTTAAGATATAATTGTCCAAAAATTCTATGCTAGATTACAAGGCGCCTCAAAACCCCGAAACATTTGAAAATTACCCCCTACTTTAAACAGTAACCACCTTGTCCGTAGACATAATATCTTTCCTGTTTTTGTCAAATTCGCCATGAGACATTTGCCTCGTAGACTGTGGGAGATCTGGCGACAATCTGTCATGGAATGGTTCTGGCTGTAAGGCTTATAATTTTAGCAGATTCGAGAAAGAAACATGGCTTATATTGAAATAAAGAGGATTGTATTCTTATTACGTCAAATCAATCATAATAGACACGAACATCCAACCAGACTTTGTAACGTGCATTTCAAAATGTGATAATCTGGACTATTATATAATACCTAAGTATAAGACAAATTTGTAACCAAAAGAAAAGTTCCTAAAATGTACATAAATTCCAAATCTCATACACTCCCCCGATGTAGCTAAACTGTAATGAAATGAAACAGCTGGTCATCACACACAGCTCGTGAAGCACATTGCATAAAACAAAATAATGTTCATGAGATTGGCACTTATATTATTGGGCACAAGTTCTTTAATCCATGATTTTATCTTTGAACTAGCTTTGACGGCTGCTGTTCTCTTTGGTCGAAGTTCATCAGTTTGCGTAGATGACTGAGTAGTTCCAATAGCTTCATCTGAATGAATTTTGGATTGATTATCTAGTCTTGCTCTTTCGATGACAGAATCAGTAGCTCCACGATCTCGGATGCTCGTTTCAATTGAATACAGACGTTGGAAGGTCTCTTTAAAGTAATGACTTTTCCATTTTTACTCTGTACTAGTAGTTCAGCCCCTCGAACATTGCCATCATTACCAGTAATAAATCGTGTTACCCTTCCAAGTTTCCATACTGTTCGGGGTTGATTATCATCATGGACTATTACAACGTCGTCCTTGGCTATTCTTCTGGATCCCTGGATACCCGTATTGTGAGAATTGCGTAACTCAAGTAGGTATTCATAACGCCAGCGACTCCAAAAGTCTTCAAGCAACGAATTAAAATCATCAAATCTGGATCTTAAATCTGAAGTGGTGACTTCTTGATATATGGCATTTTTATCTTCTGGTTTGTCTAACAAACGTCTACCATGTAAAAGATGCGATGGGGTGAGTGGCTCTGCTATATCTTCTGTAGTGACATAAGATATTGGTCTAGAGTTTAATACAGCTTCTACTTCCGTTATAACGGTTCCGAGTTCATCGTGGGTCAATCTGGCTCCTCCAATACATTTCTCGAGACATCTCTTGGCGCTTTTAATCATCCTTTCAAAGATCCCTCCCCACCATTGTGCCTTCTCTAAGTTAAATGACAACTTCATCTGATGGAGTATTTTGGTCGCGGCTTTAAACGTTTTACCATTTTCTGAGATTATATGTACTGGTGTCCCTCGTCGTGATGTAAATCTTCTGAAGCTGCATATAAAGGCATGAGTTGACATATCTGTGTATAGTGTATAGGCATAACCATGTCTTCTGTAACTCATCGGTTGTCGTCTTGATGAACATGGGTCCAGCGAAATCAACACCAATATGACTGAATGGGAAAGATCTTCTGACTCTAAAATCTGGCAGAGGTGGAGCAG